TTTTTTTTTTTTTTTTTTTTTTTTTTTGATAATCTAATTTGTAATTCACTATACGTAAGTTGTTGTTTAAGCATGTGTTTGGTTTTAAAGTTTCAATTAGGTAAAGAAACTCGGCTACAATGAATAAACATATTTTTTAAAGTTCTTACCTAAATTTACAATTTTAAATCCGCAGTCAAATCAGATGATTTTTTAAAATAAAGCAATTTTTTTTTCCCATGATATCATTCTTTTTCACATGTTTGTTTGTTTACCACCTTATGATCAAACCAAAAGGAATTTTAAAAATGGATTTTTTTTTTTTTTAATATAAACCAATTAAGATGTCAGTTTCCTATCAAGTAAATATTTCAAATAATTTATTAATTTTCCTGAATTGGAAAAATAACTGAATATGGTGAATATGTTTAAGGAGTGATTAATAATATATATATTTTTTTTACTCAATTAAACCTCCGGTTGTTTTACTTTTATGGTCAGAGTCCTGGTCCAGGTCCTTGTCTGGTATTTATTATCCCATCGGTTTTATTGTATACACTGATGGATTTTTTAGTAAATTATTCCATCGGTATAAAAAAATGTATAAAAGAAGTATATAATCCATCGGTGTATACAGTACGTCATACAACTGTTATTCTAATAAATACACTCCCTCCAAAGCATCGGTGAATATTTCAGATACCAATGGAATAACAAGTATTTGCTCTTGTTAAATCGCCGGTTGTCTTGGCAAGCAATTTGGTTTTAATTTATGAAACAAGGTGAAAAAAATATTTGTAATTGATTTGTCAGTTACATCAGCTGCATCTCTTATTGAACTATTTCCATTTACAAATTTTAAATGATAACCTCTTATAATGTTAATAATAAAGTTTTGATAGTTACATCTATTTCCCATTTGCAAATTTAAATGGTAACTTCCTAGAAATGTTTAGTAATAACCCAAAAATATGAAATTTAGAGTTCAGGGTTTTTGTTGGATTTGTCAGCAATTCAACAACCTTTCACATGATGTCCTTAAATATTTTTTAAATATTTTGAAAATATTTTAGATAAGTCACATGACTCGCATCTTTACAAATTGTATACTTTTTTTTGCCAAGACTTCAAAAATAGCAAGGACAAACCAAACATAGGTTTGTAGATCGAACTGTTAGGGTAACATTTATTAATTTATTGACCCAGACTTCTTTGAATCAATTTGGTGCGACGTAATGACAATAAATGTTTTGCTTGGTGAAAACTAACCGGTTTACGATATTACTTGCGGAATCACGCAACTTTTGCCGTATCGCAGCTACCGTAAACTCAAGGCTGGAAGTTCCGAAGAAAGCAAAAATGTAGTAATATACATTTCATCAAATTTATCTGATAGTTTCTTTCAAGTTATTTAAGTTATTAAGGTTTATACTCATATTATTGAAAAAGGTCTGGACCAAATTCTTCCAAATATTATTATGCACAAATGTGCAAGATAAGATTTCTCCTGAGTCCACGCAACGTTTGTCGTATCGCAGCTACCGTAACTCAACTTCTTCAACTTAGTAATATATATTTATCAAATTTATCTTAAAACCGATGATAGTTTCTTATAAGTTTGTTCAGAATACGATCTAAGTGCATTTATATTTCCATTTTCTGCTGCTTTTTGATAATTTTGGATCAAGTATAGATGCAAGAAAGAAAGGAGTATTCCCATGAAGAGAAGCACTAAAAGTTAGCAGGAGACAACAAACCCACTTTAATCACACTTTATAATTATACTTGCCGCCCAAACCTAAATTTTCAAAATGCAAACCCCCAAAGTCAAAAACTGGAAAAAACTCCGGCCATAATCTCAAACTCTGGACAAACATGTCAACATGTCAACATGTCAAACCTGGACAAATCTGGGCAAATCCCAAACCAACTTTTAAATTTTTATAATTTTAATAAAATTTATAGTAAAATTATCATATAAACAATTATTTAAGCAATTACAGATAACAATCCTACTTCGGCAAACTAATCCGGAGGTTATCTAATAAATTCCTGATGACTATTACTACAAGTTATACATAATTAGTCAAATCACAACCAACAAATTCCTGATGAGGTACGTTATTACAAGTTGTTCATAATTGTCAAAGTCACAACCCGGAGGTTATCTATAAATTCTTGATGGTGCACATTATTACAATTTGTCAAAGTCACGAAGTCACAACTCGGAGGTTATCTACAAATTCCCTGATGATGCACATTATTACAAGTTATCCATAATTAGTCAAAGTCACAACCCGGAGGTTCCGGAGGTTATCTACAAATTCCTGATGGTGCACGTTATTATAAGTCGTCCATAATTGTCAAAGTCACAACTCTGAGGTTATCTCAAAGTCACAACTCCTCGTATTAACCATTATCGTACAGCACTGCACACAATATCCTCCTGCAAAAGTATCCCCTTAGGTAGACAATTTGATATTTGGATTTTGATCAAAATTACTACCCGAGAGAACGTTACTCCTTATAAAAAATTTTTTAGAAATTGATCACATGTCTGAGTTTTTCTGGGGTAAAATTAGAAAATGATCATTCATCCAGAAAATTTTTTATAGGGACTTCTTACTAAATCCAATATATTTCTTTGTATTTGTAGTACACTTCAAAAAGCTGTATAACATCATAAGTGGTTTAATCTGCTTCTGTTGTTTTTATCAGTTTTATCAGTTTTATCAGTTACTGTGATGCTAGGACTCACTACACCCGACCCGGCGAATCTACAGTTCTCCTTTTATTGACAGTTTACTGATTCATATACATCACAATCAATTTATTTGTGCCAAATTACTAAATTATTGATCCCTAAAAATATATACAACTTCAGCAATACTTTATTGATGGTACAATGGAACATTACATTGGATTCTACAAAAAGATTCAATATTTGTGAATCTACGAAACGAAACACCAACATTACTGTATGTTCTAAATTATCAATTCTTGTAAAGATAATTTTTGTCAAATTTTTAGGTTATCGATGTATGAGTCAGTATATACATGTTGGCGAAATAATTTTTTAATTTCGGACCAATTTCGGCTTTGTAACTCCAAAGTGTACGAGTGTACGAGAGTGGCCAACTGAAACTTGGCAGAAATTTTTGCCAGAACCCAGAGAATATAGAGAAATTCTCAGATAATTTCGGTCTTATTGGCAACAATTTAATTTACCTTCGTCTCTTATAGATAATGGTAATACAAAATAATTCAGGGGTGTGTCCGAAATATACACAAACCTGTTGCCAATAAGATCGAAATTAATTTCAGATGATTACGTTTACACACTGTGGGGTTATGCAAATTGGTCCGAAATTAAAAAAATTATTTCGGCAACATGTACAACATGTATATATGTATCTTTTAAAAAACATTGTTCATTTGTTCATCAAACCTTGGTTTCATATATATAATGTTTATTTTATTTGATTTATTAGATTAATTATTGCAGGTATCAGGAAAAAGTTGTATCTGGGTAATTAAATCTTCTTTATATAAGCCATGAATAAGTCTTAGTCGTATTGATTACGTAAAGTAAATAAGCCATTAATTAAGAATTTTAACTTGCTAAATTATACTTTTAAACCGTAAAATGCAAAACATAATATTAGAAAATTTACATTTTCAATTGGGCTAATAAAATTGCATCAACTATTAATGTAAAATCTAAATAATGAAATTTATATGGTTACTCATCATAATAAAAAAGTAGTTTTGGTAGTACATCATAATCAAATTAATTAAAAAAAAAAAGTCACCCCTATACATACTTTGGTTAAGTTCAGATAATTCATTATGAAAATTTTCAAGTCCATTATAAATTTCTTGAAGACCAAGTTGAATATCTTGAATTTCAGTCTGAATATCTTGAAAAAAATCATTATGTTGAGGATTAAAAACTTGATCAATCCTTTGAATAGTTTGTTGAATATTTTGTTGAATAGTTCTAATATCATTTTGAATACTTTGAATACCATCTTGAATATCATTTTGAATAGCATGATAATCAACTTGAATATTTGGATTAAATGAAATATTATGAATGGTTTCTTGAATAGGTTGAAGATTAGATTTGGCAGTTAAAATCTTTTCCTTAATAGTTATGAGTATCTCTCGAAGTTCCGTAACTTCTCGTGCAACAAAGTTGGTAAGTCGTACCTATAGAAATAAAAAAAAGTCTTGAAATGTTTATTTTTACTTATTGAAATATTTATTTAATATTTTATTTTTAATTGTTATATTTTACCATTTTAGTTAATTTTTGAAATGAGAGAGAAAAAAAAAATAATTTTTTTGTTTATGAAAAAAAATTACGTCAAAAATTTAAGTAAGCTACGTCAACATCATTTAATATATTAAAATGATCGAGTTAAAAAAAAAAAAAAGTATATTGCGCCACTTTTTTAATGAAACCGCAGGTCCGCAGTACAAGTGACATTTTTGAAGAATAAGTATGATATGAACCTCTGTTGTATATATTATATGGGACTAAACATTATTAAATTATAGTTAATATGGTATTAAAATTTTATACATGTAGTTGATAATTCATATCATTGCTGGAAATCACTGCTGGAAATCACTGCTGGAAGTCGCTGCTGGAAGTCGTTTCTGGAAGGTGTTAATCAACTATCAAGTAAAAATTTTAAGTTCAAAAATTGGAAAATTTTTCATCACGTGATAATTGGATTGGTGAGACTGTCAGACTGTGAAGAGGTACAGTTAATAACCTATACCCGAAAGTATATCCCACCAAATATTTTACAAACTTAATATAAAATATAAAATATAATACAATATTCTTTTATAAAATGTTTCAATTATCATTGAACAATCTAATTAATTTCTATAATTCATTATTGTTTATAGGATGCCAAGAAAGATATTCGTAGCATTATTTAGAAATCCCTTGCATGTAAATAAAGTAAGTACTTTGAAAATCTGTGAATCAAATCTTTAGGTGATTATTATATTTTTTTTTTTTGTGTGATTTGTACGTATTGTCATACACTCATACTACTCTACTTCATTTAAATCATATATTTACCAGCACGTCTTACAGAATTTTGACATTTTTCTGACACCCTTTTTTAGTGACAGCGCCTCCTTCATTACACGAATAATTATTAATAGCGCGTTCAATAAATGTGAGTACGAAACCATGTATCCAAATATTTATTTCTCATTCACATGAGTACGGAAAGCTATTCCGTCCGTTCTTCCAATTTTCTCTTCTATACAGCATTAACAGATGCAGGCAAATTTCACGAGCCTTTATGCTATGCACCGTCACAAATATAGATGTCACATGATGGAATATAACAATAAAAAAAAGGTCCAGGCACCAAATTTTCATGAGGATATGCGTTTTAATAAGATCATGTGTTTGCACAACAGCTTGATCATTGTTTTTTAACGATCCAAAAATGTTAATATATATGTTATTTAACAAAAGAAAATGGTTTTTTTTAGTATGTAAATATTTATAAAATAACGCATGACTTATTAAAGGAACCCAATAATGGTAAGTATTGACACTGTGTCAAAAAAAAAAAAAATCCACCAATTAAAATAAGAATCATTATTTAACTAACGAAAAATGAAACACGAGAGAATGGTATGACCCATTTGTTTATTCTCGTCTATTGAAACGAATGAAACGAATACTTAGTTTAACTAAAATAATACTAAGAGATTTAAATGCTGTAACACGGTAAGAAGGTTCTTTTTTAAAGACGGAAGGGCCATAAAAGGAAACATTGCTAATAAACTTTGAAATTTTAAAGGGTAAGTTACATGAAGAATAACGCGTATAAGTTTAATGTATACGTATAATGTATAATATATACGTATATAATATATACGTATAATATATAATATACGTATAAATATACGTATAATACTGTATAATGTATTTTAGAATGTGTTCTTATGACCTTTCTTGTAAACCTGTACAATTTTCCATAAATTGATATAAAAGAATCCAATAAGGAGAATCATTTAAAAACTTGAAAAAAAAACTTATATAAAAAGCATAAAACCTGAAAAAAAAAAGTATTTTTTTTTTTAAAAAAAATCGGTAAAATCGGTACGTAGCGCAGTAAGTAAAAATGCACGTCGAATTCGTCGAAACTATTATGGTTACGTAATCATTTTTTTTTTTACGCAACGAATGCAACGAATAATTGGATGTGATGATTAATTTTATTAATATGTTTCACGTTCTATATATTTTTATTTGTTTATATGATTGCTTGCATTAATTAATTATCTGTTATTCATTCAATTAATTCAATTAATTCATTTTAATTAAACCCTTCATTTATTATGACAAGCGAGAAGAATAGTAAAATCTTTCATTTTGTTCAAATAAAAAAAAAAAGAATTATGCATTTAATATGACTCGTTAAAATACTTTCATTGTAACATAATATTTACCAGGGATCGCCGTTACAACCCGTATATCCGTATTTCTAAATTAATAGAGATTTACCTTCCACAAACGGGGGATTTAGGAATCTTTGGATACATAACTACCCCAACATTAAAACCGGATTATTGAATTCCATGATTTCATTTTTTAATATCAGCAAAAACGACAATTAAATGATGGGCTAAAAATATAAATATTTTTTTCGGGAAACTTTTATTCTAATTAGTAAATTTTTTAATTTTTTTAATGTCAATCAGAAAGATTCTTATTGTCTAAAATTCTTTTTATGGAGTAATTAAAGTTAATTAATATTAATATTATGACTTCCATCTCATTTACATATATCTAAATTTAGGTTTCATTTGGAAATTTTTGTAAACAAACTTACAGCCCCTTAATTTTTCGTAACATCAAATATTGATCGTCCAAAATCTGATTGCGTAGATTACGTAGAATAACTGTATAAAAATGACTTTTGTATTTTTTTAAAATGAATTATTATGCTACATTATAAAAAGAACATCAGGCCTCGGAATATTTGAACGAATTTTTTTTTTAATTTTATTTCTTGTTAAAAGAGTAGTTTTCTCTCTCTCTCTCTCTCAATTTTTTATTTTCTTCTAGTATAATAAACATTTTTTTTTAATAAATTTAATAAATTTTATGAAATTTTGAAAAAAAAATTCATTAGAACAAATATTAAATAATTATTTATAATAAAAAAAAATGAATCTTAACTACTTAAATATATCTATTTTTTTTTATAATATAACTTTTTACTCTTATTTTCTCGATTTACTTTGATTTACTTTGATTTACATTGCAACCAAAAAAAAGTCACATGTAAGTAGTTTTACATTTTTTTGTCTTGTAAATGGTCTAAAGGTAGACGAAGGGTTTAATTATGGGTGTCACGGATTACATAATATGCTCGAATATATATTCGTCATGGACGCGTCAGAATTCACTCAACGGTATGCGATTCATGCAATTCAAAAAGTTTAAAAATTTCCCACACGTATTATCAGGAAAAAAAAATAGAAAGAAAGAAAAAATAATAATAATAATAATATGTTGACTGCCGAACTCCGCGCCTGCTATCCCGCTATCGGAAATATTAGAACAAAAAAAAAAAATGCGATTACACAAACATTTAATTAGAAAGATCATTTAAAAAATTTTTGATAATACAAAAAAGGGATGTTTTTGAAAGTAATATTGTACGATAAAAAAAAGTTATTCTTTATTCGGTAATTTTAATGGGTTCTTTTTTCTTTTTTTTTTTGTAATAGTAATATAGTAGTCGCATATACGGTGTTATCTCATCCAATTAATAAAACCAAATTATATCCATTTTTAAAGAACAAAAATAAAAATTCTTGTTTGAATACTGGTTTAATATTATGATTATGTGATGTTTATTTACGTGACCTTTTTCTTTGTTTAAAATTTTTATTTATTTATTATTATTACTACGTATTTTATTTTATTATTTTTATCTTATTTTATTATTATATTATATTATATTATTTTATTTTATTTTATTTTATTTATTTATTTATTTATTTTATTTTATTTTTTATTTTCGCAGCAAATGTGACCTATTTGACCTATTCCGAAAGTGTTATGACATGAAAAATTATGCGAGGTCTCGCGCCACGAGGCTTATATACCGAATAGATTGTAAGTAGATCCTTTTTATTTTTTGATTCCCCATTAAAATTACTTTTTAACCATTATTTTAAAATAATTAGTAACCATTCCGTTAAATCAAAAAAAAAAAAAAAAAAAAGATTAGTTCCAAAAATGAATGGGCACGTGCCACGATTTTCAAGTATAAAATATGGGCAGTTAATGCTATCCTAGGTCTTCTACTTTCACTATTCTCTTTAACACACAATATTGATATATAAACATATTTTAAAAAATCAATTAAAAAACAAAAAGAAAATGCCGAAAAGAATTAATAATCAAGAAAACAAAAATCATAAATTTTTGCCGTACTTAGTTAAAGACTTCAATTGTGACGGTCAATATATTATTATCACTTTTTATTTATCTGAGGGAAGTTTCGTCGTACTTTCTGATTTCGTGTTTCCAACCGTGGAGCAAGTACTAAAACAATGCAAAAAAAGTGCAAAGCGTGCACCAAACTCGTTCATAATTTTCCGGATGTTTTTTAATCAGTCCGTTAAATACGTTCCTCCTTCCAATGTGGGCAGAGTTAGTCAGATTGCCAAGTCAGTTTGGGCAGTAGTATCAGAAGATTTAAAAAAAGCTTTCATTTTATTAGAAGGAAAAGTTAAAGATTGTTTAAGAAAAACTCGAGCTCCCTCATTTATAATGCATCATGGCAATGATCGTAATCGTAAAATTAGACGATTTTCTACTTCTTCTTTTTCATCACATGAATTAAATGAACCATTGAATAAGAATACTCCTTCATTGGATTTTAATGATATTACCCCAACTTCAGAACTTCCAGAAAGCTACACCTATAACTATGAGCCTCCAACATTTCCTCCTTTCATGCCTTTCATGGAGAATTTTCAAGAATTTGAGGTTCCTGCTGAAAGTAGTAAAGATCCAAATTCTTTACAATTTACATTACCTGAACAATATTTACTTGGATTTACCACATCTAACTGGAACCCTCCGGGAATATACTTTGAAAATTTAGAATTATTGAATCTATTTGTAAATGATACGAATACTACAATTAATTATGACGATTCCACAATGACGAATGAACCTTTTTTATATGAAAGAGAAACGACAGATACAGGAACATTTATGAGAAATGATCAAATTGATCAAATTGGTCAAATTGGTCAAACTCATGTAGAAATTTCGTCGGATGATACATTTGATTTTACTGAGTTTTGTTCGTTACTTGATTATGAAGAAATATGTAATTTGGATTTTGGTTATTGTAACCGCCAATTCTAACTAACATTTGAAAAAACCATCTTTTTTTTATTATTTACATATTTTTACATATTTAATATTTCGAAATTTTTAATCTATTTAATCTATTTATCTATTTTAAATATGCTTATACAAATGTATATTCATTTAATATATAGTCTTACATTTCTAGAATCTCAATTTTAGAGAATTTTAGAAAGAATTTGATAATTTTTTTTTTTTTTTGAGAAATTTTACTATTTTTATTTTTTTTTTATTTTTTATTTTTTATTTTTTT